GCCTGCAAAGGGTTGTAGGTCCGAAAATATAGATTGGCTAAACATATGACTAATATATGACATTAAATGAATAAAAATAGAGTCTGGAGGCTACAGGGACTTTACATCTTAGTATAAGAGTAGGGAATGCATAAAAATAAACTAAATAGCCACATTTATAAAAAAAACTTAGGTTTCGAAGAATCCCTTATGACTTATTGTGATGTCTTTTCAATTGAAGTGAATTCGTGAGTTGCTGTCACCGGAAAAGATTGGCGCAAATAGACAAATTAGGCAAAGAGAGTATTCTCATGGGTTTTCTATAAGTGGTCATTTTTAAAAAAGCAGGACAGGTAAAATTTCAATATATAGTTTAATCTTATGCCAAGACAGCATGGCCATAGAGTCTAGGTAAAAATACCTTTTCGGGGGGCAAGTGAAATTCAATGGCGTCATGAGGCCTAAACATCTCATTGTGGGAAAGTTCACTATCAAGCTATTACCTTAAATGACCTAGGGTGTCTAAAGTCTTTATTCAAGGAATAGATTGGTTTTTCAAAGAAATGTTAATATGGACCAAGAAAAAGAGGCTTCTTGATCCCCTGCAATAAACACGGAAAATGATATAATAAACTGATCGACCGGAGGAACCTTGATCAAGAATAGTACCAGATGCTAACCATTTCACTTAATTAAGTCTTGATTTAAACAAATGGTCAGACTAACCTTCAATTCTTCGTCTAGCTGATCAATAAGAGCCTGAAAAAAATCGAAAGCATCTTGCTGTTCTTTAGGATTTACTGGATTCTTCTGGTCCCAAAGCCTAAACGCTGCCCAGAATGATTCGGGACTGTAGAATTGAAGCTGAGAAGTCAGTAAATGTCCGAAGAGCTAGAAACGAAAAAAGTAATGAAGAAAAAGATTAAAATGGTTATCAAAATAAAAACGTAAAACCTCGTCCTAATTAAAAATGTGTAAATTATGAACTAGGAATATCAAGGAAGAGTGCCTTTCCATATGCTCTTCTAACTAATTTGGTATTAAAAGTTGGGGAGAGTGGATCTATAAATGTTTCCTCGCCTGTGTCATCCGAAATTATAAAAATGTGTAAAATACTTGGTCCTGACATGCAAGTAAATAATTCTGATGGTCTTAGTATAGCGACAAAAAATACTATAGGAACTTAACCCTAATTCACATTCCGTATGGGAAAAAACTTGTTTGTGATGACCGGCAAGTTGACATGGATTTTTTAAAATTCATTTTACATACCAAAACACTAAACTCTCCATTAGTTTACGGTGGCCATAGTTACCTATTTCAATCAATAAGAAACTTTATCAAATATCAAGTAGTAACATTTAAATAAGTAATAACGACTGTCCTGAATGACGAAGGCTTAGTACGTTTTTCATTACAACTGATAAGGGTCTTATCTTGCTAAATGAGTTGGCTTAAACTCCCGAGTAAAGTAAAACAGCATTATACCAGAGAGAATACAGCATCGTCTGCTGGCAAGATAGAACCAGCCCTATCAAACACTTCACGCGAAATTAAAGCTAACTAAACAATCAGAAGATCCAAGTGAGATAAATTAATCGAGGATATGAAGAAGAGGATTGTGTGGCCTTTTGTCTGGTTGCGGTCTCCTTGGACTTCGGACAAGGTGCATTCCTCTAGGTCTTCCTGCCAATATGACCAAGTTGCGAAAACAAGGTCAAACAATTTCTATACGAGATAAATTATTTTTCGTAGATGGTGATGGTTAAGGTATGAAGGCAACTTGGTCGGAGCGTCGAGGAGACCTTGTAGAATGTACATAGTCCAGTGCCTTCTGTCATAGTATTCGTGATTTCCAGGCCTCGGTCAATTGACTGGATCCATTCCCAAACGTTTCGCCGGCATCGTCAATGAGAGGCGCCATCGTCAGCACAGAGTTATAACTTATTAATGTGACAAGTGAAGACAATCTCTTGACCAATCTCCTGTTCAACCGTTGTGGCATCACCTTTCGCCCCAATTTTTTTGACCTTCTAGAGCTGCATCTCTTTCTCTCAACCCCACTTCATATGGAAGATATGAAGACCAAGATGGTGTGGCCCCTGCCTGCTCACACAATTCCCTGCCCTCATCTCCTCCAATGCCGCCTAAGAGTGCGTCGCTACAAATGGGTTTATTGAAGCGTAATCACTGCTACCACCGGTACCAAGTGCCGTCTGCAGGGTTCCCGACCTTCATCCAGTCTCCTTTTCTGCTAGTTGCGGAGATGATTACGCTTCAATAAACCCACTTGTAGCGGCAAACTCTTAGACAGCATTGGGGGAAATAAGAGCGAAAAATTGTGTGAATTAGCCGATGTGCCATATGAAATGTGCTTGACATAATGAGATGCAACACTAGAAGGTAGAACAAAAAATAGGGGCGAGGAATGAGGTCACAACCGTCGAACAGAAAATTGGAAAGAGGATTGCCTCAGTCGTCACTGATAAGTTTTAACTCTGTGCTGACGATAGCACCTCTTCCTGACGAGACCGACTATGATGCCGGCGAAACGGTTATGGATGTACCAAGTTAATGGTCCTATGCAGGAAATCACAAATGCTATGGCAGAGAACCCAAGACTAGGTACGTTCTACATGGTCTCCCTGACACTCCGACCAAGTTGCAAAAACGAGGTCAAACCAACACTATAAATTGTTTTTCCTAATGATCCGATGCCCAATATAGATATGAGTATAGAATATCACTCATGAAATGCAGCCCAATGGAGGTAGGATATTGATGAGTGATATAGTGGGTAGTATATATGCTTAAAAAAACAGATACCATTTTTAGCTCCCATTAGTAAATGATAAACTTAGTAAATGTAAAAAGTTAATTTTATTCTAAATTAGCGAAATTTTAATAAACATGGAAAATTCAAATTCTATGATGAACAAATCTTCCTTTTAACTTAGCCTTGGAAGACTATCTATCAATGATCATATACAGGCCTATCGCCAACTCTAGCCTTATTTCCTAAATTAGCAGTTGGATGATTATTTTACGTCTCATTAACGGTTGACATAAAACAAAAACGGTAGCATAGAAAGCAAAGCGAAATTGAAAAAAAAACTTGGTAAAGGAGGCCAACCTTTTGTGTTTGTACTAAAATATTTTTTTCGTCTAAATCCTCAGTCTCCGTCACACTCAATAACGTCTCCGGAATACCCGGCTGCATAAATAACTGCTGGAGAACGGCATTCATGTAACAGGTTGCACCGCCGTTGCGAAGGCCAACGAAACCGCATTGGGCTCGACCAGCCAGAGCAGGCTGGACATCCCACTGGAAGGCACGACGAACAGGTGCTGTCTCTGCTGATGAAAAATCCGATTTACAGCCATTGGTGGTGGCAAAGGGAGTGGGCGCAGAAGCATTGGAAGGTGTGGTCATTGCAGGTGCCGTTGATGGTAGCGAGGAGTTGCGATCAACCTGACAGACTTGAGAATTGACCGCAAATAGTGGGGAAATAGACTCGTCCTGATGATGCATAACTATGAGTAAGTTTGTAAGCTGAAAAGTGGAAAGAGAAATGGGTGAACAAAATGAGCGAAAAAAACTGGGTCTGAATTAGGACAGAAATCCGAATTTGATTGCATAGTCAGATGCATTTAGCTTTGAATTAAATACGATTGGTACACGATACCATTAAACAAAAGTAACTCATCAAATTGGGCCATTTATGAGGTATTGAATAAACTTATGAGTAGTGGTAAAAAATAAATCACATATAGATAAGTGGACAAAATTTCGAAATGGATGAATGAAAAATAAAGTTTAGGAGTAGAGTGATATTCCCTTGTAATTATTTGAACGCGTC